CACACAGGAGTGAAATGCTTCATAATTCACAGGTCATTAAGTAAAGTATTCAAAGATTTTGCTTCAGTAGTAGCATAAAATTAGCCCTAGATTAAAATGCTGCTCTGGTCCTATCTATGTACCTTCAAAGCAAAACCCAGAAAGATCTGTTTTTAGGTAATTCTACTTTTAAATTTTGATTTTAATTTTTTAGATGTAATTTAGAGACCATTTTAAAAAATACCCTTTTAAAGTTTATAATTAGTGGTTTTGGGTATATTCACCAGGGTGTGCAACCATTAACCAGCATATAATTCCAGAACATTTTCATCACCCCAGAAAGAGAAGCCTGTACCCATTACCATTATTGATTTCCTTTTCTCTCCATTTCCTGTGACTATTAATTTACTTTCTAACTTTGTGAATTTGCCTAATCTGGATATTTCATATAAATGGAATAATTTACATAATTTGTTACATCTTCTTTCACTAAACACATTTTCCAGGTTCAGCCGTATTATAGCATGTATCAATACTTTATTCCTGTGGTCAGATAGTTTAACTGTGTTCCAGAATAAAGGTCAAGAATGTGGGGTGACTGGGTATCTCAGTTGCTTAAGCATCTGCCTTCGGCCCAGGTCATGATCAGATCAAGCCCCACACTGGGCTCCCTGCTCAGCATGGAGTCTGCTTCTCCCTTTCCCTCAGCCACTACACTCTGCTTATGCTCTGTCAAATAAATTTACGCCTTAAAAAAAAAAAAAAAAAGCTCAAGAATGTCTATAGGAACACAGAAATATCCAGTGCTAAGCAATGTAAAATTCCCAGTGTTCTGGCATCCAATAAAGAATTACCAGGCTGGCAAAAAAGCAGTTAAAAAAATATATAATGAGAACATCAAAACTGACCCAGGAATAACACAGATGATAGAATTAGTATAAAACAGCAAACAATTACAAACCAAGATCTAGAAATAACCTATCAATGAATGAATGGGTGAGTAGATCTTAAATGTTCTCATCATAAAAAGGAAATGGCAATTATGTGAGGTGATGGAGGTGTTAAAGCTATGGTGGTATTTATTTTGCAGAATATAAGTGTATCAAACGAACACATTGTATACCTTAAACTTATATGTTAATTATATCTCGTAAAGCTGGAAAAAGCCCAGTTATTATAAATAATTGTGTTCCATGGAAGAGTAAAATAGTAGGTTGAACATGTGTATAGACATTTGGAAGATATATTTTTTTTAAATCCAAATCAGACTTCTTGGAGATAAAAATTATGTCTGATTTGAAAAATGAACTGGATGGAATTAACAACAGATTAGACATTGTAGAAGGAAAGATTATTGAAGATTAGAGCAACAAAAGTTAGACAAAATAAAACATATGAAAAGACTAGAAAGTATATAGAATATTAGTATGCTGGGCTAACAACTAAGAAATCTGGATCTACAGAAAGGAATTAAGGACCAGAAATGGTAACTGTGGGTAAATATAAAGCTTTGGGTGTTTTTTTGTTTGTTTGTTTTTAATTTAAAATCTCTTCATAAAAGACAATAAACTATTTAAAGCAAAAATACAAAAATTACATTGTGGGTGTAAAACATGTAGAAGTAAAATATAGGACAATAGTATTCAGGCAGGTAGAGGAGAAGGGAAGTGTTATGAAACAAATACTTTTTTTAAAAATTTGTTTATTTATGAGAGACACCGAGAGAGAGAGAAAGGCAGAGACACAGGCAGAGGAAGAAGCAGGCTCCATGTGGGGAGCCCGATGTGGGACTCGATCCCGGGTCTCCAGGATCATGCCCTGGGCTGAAGGCGGCACTAAACCGCTGAGCCACCCAGGCTGCCCCTGAAACAAATATTAAATAAACTTTGAAAAAGCAGGAACAAAGCTGTCATTCACAGATGACATGATTGTTTATATGGGAAATTCAAAAGAATCTACAGATAAACTCTTAGAATTAATAAATGATTTAAACAAGTTACTAGTTTAACAGTGATTTCCTTGGTGAAGCAGGAAAAATAGTTTAAGTTGTGACCTTTGAGTACATGTCTTAATATTCTGTATGATGAAGTGGAAAGTATTCATAAAACACATGCTGAAGTACAGTGGTTGCTTCAAGGAAGAGCAACCTTCTTGTGTGGTTGTTTGAGTCGAATGTGGAGCTAGCTGCTTTTGTTCATGGATCATTGTATGTGAAAGAATAATAGACACTGATTATTCAGATTCCGGTATTTGGCAGATTTTTTTTGATAATAAACAAAGTGAATTTGTTGCCTCAAGGAAAATAATTGACAGTATCCTTTGGCAATGATAAAATTTGAGCTTTTAAGCAAAAAATGGAAGTTTAGAAAACTTTTATCCATCATAATGAGTCTGATAGCAGACTTTAAAGACTTCTTTTTTTAAAGAAATCACTGGTCATGTTAGCAAGTGTGTTGTTTTAATGTTGTATAATGAAACATGTCAGGATTCGGAAGATCTATATAACTTGGTGAACCAGTATTTTCCAAATGGCCAGTGCATAATGTTATAAAATCATGCTTGGATGAATGATCCATTCAAAGTACAATGTAGAACAGATGATTTTAATGTAACAGTAGGAAAAATTGATGCGTTTTCAGATCCACATTGTAACTAATCTTTAAAAAATTGTGACTTGGCATATTTTGGTGAAGACCATTCACAATAATCTGAAAGCCTGTTAAAATATTCTTTCCTTTTCCAAATATATATATGTGTGATACTGGTTTTTCTTTGTATAGTTCCACCTAAACAGCTCATTGCAGCAAATGGAATACAAAGTGGATAAGAGAATCTAGCTGGTCCTGTTAAAAGCCAGGCATTGAGATTTACAAAAAATGTAAAACAAGGAAACTCTAATATTGTTTGAGAGAAAATATTTCTTTCTTTTCTCTTTTTTTGTAAGATTTTATTTATTTATTTATTTATTTATTTATTTATTTATTTATTTATTTGAGAGAGAGAGAGAAAACACGACCACGGGGACAGAGGGAACCAGATTCCCCACTGAGCAGGGAGTCTGATGTGGGGCTTGATCCCAGGACTCTGGGACCATGATCTGAGCCAAAGCTCAACTGACTGTGAGTCACCCAGGCACCCCAGAAAATATTTCTCATGTTAACATTTAGTTGGATTTATAATTGTTATTTTTAATTAATAAATTAAAAATATGTTTTAATATATAATGTGCCAGTTATTATTTTGGGGGGTATATAATATGCCAATTATTAATAGATGTAACAGCACAAACAAAAGCTCCTTGACTTCAATTTTTAAGACTGCAAAAATGTTCTGGAATCGAAGTTTGAGAACTGTTCCATGCTTTGTTCTAGATGGTGATTGTACAAGTATGCCCATTTTGTAATAAATTAGTCATTTGTGCACTTTATTATGTACATGTTAAATTTTAATAAAGATGTTTATCCTCTTTGCAGATAAAAAATAAGCTATTAAGATTTTGTCCAAGATTTCTTACTTGAGTGGTAGATAACTAAGCATGGATAGGAGAGAGTGTGAGTGGCTAAGAAAATTACCATAGGGTGCTTGTAATTTTTTGAGCTAGGAGCCCATAAGCTTGATTTTTTTTTTTAAATATTCTTTTCCCTAATTAGTTTGTAGGCATGTTATTCTAGCTGATGTGAATGGGGGACAGTTTGGTTTTGCCTTCAGTATAGCGGGATACATGCCTAGTTTTCTACATAGTTGGTCTCTTTTGGCAAATGTGACTCCATTTGTAGCACAAACGGTGATAACCAATGGTGTTGGTTAAGTCAGTAAATATTTATTTATTGTATACTGAATAGAAAGCACTGTGTTGGTTATGATTACTTACTGGGGACTCAAGGAGCTAACAGTCTAGTAGTGGATAAAAATTAGTTATACCATAAAGCTAAATATATTGTACCCACGGAAATAGGAACATAGAAAGGAAAGTTGGTTGTACCATCTGAATAGAACCTTGAAGGATAAATAGGCTATCTGTTCTAAACTTTTGTTTGTTTCTAATTTAAGATTCTAATGTTAATACTGATAAAAGTCTTCAGGAATGCCCAGCCTGCTTCTGGTTAACCATTGTTAACAGTTTGATTTATAGTTCTTGGCATCTGATATGTATGTTAGAATTTTTTTTTAAGGTTTATTTTAGAGTGGGAGCATGAGGGGGGGAGGGGCAAAGGGAGAGGAAGAGAGAGAATCTCAAGTAGACTCTGCACTGAGTATGGAGCCTGACATGGTGCTCAATCCCACAACCCTGAGATCATGAGCTGAGCCAAAACCAAGTCAGATGCTTAGCCGATGGAGCCACATTATTATTATCTATCTATGGTTTTGCAGGTATGTTGGACAGTTGAGTGTCCAGTTTTCAGTAATATAACTATAATGCCTATGATTCTTAAAAATGCCTTTTTTGTGTTCTTTTGTCAATGCCTTTTTTTTTTTTTAAGATTGTATTTATTCATAAGACACAAAGAGGGGTAGAGACAAGGCAGAGGGAGAAGCAGGCTCTCTGCATGGAGCCTGATGCAGGACTCCATCCCAGGACCCTGGGACCACACCCTGAGCTGAAGGCAGATGCTCAACCACTGAGCCACCCAGGCATCCCTCGATGCCTAAATATTTTAATAAAAGAGAATAACAGTTCTGCTTAACACCTGAGTAAAAATAAGTTTGTACATTGTAGAAATATTTAACAGTGAAAACCTTTAATCCCTTCATTAAATGTTGATGAACTAATTACACCTGGTGGTATATTGAGTTTACGTGCTTCTGGATAAGATATTTTTCAGTTTGAGAGTAATTATTTCATGGTGAACGTGGCATTAGCAGTGAAGGGCATGGAGTTGCAGTAGGTAAGCACCAAAGGAAAGACCACTAACGTTTTGTCTTCTTGCCATATACCATCCTAGTTGGGTTTTTTTTGTGGAGTTGCTTAGAAAGAACTCTATACAGTGAGAACTACTTACGCAAATGTTTTTCTTTTCTAGGTAACTTTGTACAACACCGATCAGGATGGTAGTGATAGCCCACGCAGTAGCCTTAACAACAGTCTCTCAGACCAGAGTTTGGCATCTGTTAATTTGAACAGTGTTGGCAGTGTGCATAGTTATACACCGGTAAGTGTTGGTGAAGTTAATGACTTCTTTGCTGAGAACTCCTTTAGTGCTTAAAAATAAGCCAAATGTCATTGAAGTATAAATGAAAAAGTGAAGATGTGTGTATTTTTCGCTAATCAGTTTATTTAGCTTGGATAAGTAAAGTAGATTCCTACCTTGATAATATTTTAATTGTACTTATATTTTACCAGATTAGATACAAATATGTGGTTATATTATGTTTTTGTTTTATCATTTTGGTCTACTTTATCTGTTCTGTGAGTGAAACACAGTGTTCTGGGAAAAGTAATTGGAATAGGAGAAAAGTTGTACTTTAGTCTAACAAAGCTATATTTGATGATACTTCATAGTCCTTGGTAAAAGAAATTAGAGAATGTTTATATTACCATGTTTTCCAGTTGTAGATGTGAGAAGGGAATTCTACAAACTTCAGAGGCTAGGACAACTTGGTACTCCATTGTTAACCAGCCGTATATTTTTAATTTTGGTCTGGAAAACAAAGCTATACTATAAAGGGATCTGTGTGTGCTGATTTTGTTACCTATTATAAGAACATGACCCTTGTGTTATCTGATACCTCTTTTCAAATCATCTGGCAACTGTCCTCCCTAGAAGATAGAACAGAGCTCAGGAGCCATACACTGCATTGTTCATTGGTTTCAGTTTGATCTCACCAGTTCACTCCCTGTTCCCGGATGAGTAAATAGATAAAACCTTACACAGGACAAAGATTATAGGGGACGGGAACCTTAAATAAGAAAGTAACACAAGGGAAACCAAAAAATGAGAGGGGAGAATTAAAATTCACATTGAATGTATGAAAAGAAAAGGTGGCTCAGCAAAACTGTTATCAGTGCTCTGGAGGAAAAAAATACTAAAATATTCTACATTCTGAAAGTATTCAGAATGTAGAAGTTACAGGTAAAGGAATAACAGTTATGTACAGGAAGATAATAGATCTGGAGAATTGAGAATTATAGGTGTCCCTGAAGAAGAAGCTAGCTAGAATAGTTGGCGCAGAAGCAGTTTTCAGAAGAAATAGAGTTATAAAAGGGTTACTGAGTTGTAGGAAAAGTTAATGGAGGAAAACCTGTCCCTGGACACATCATGATAAATTTTAAAATTTCAAAAATTATCACCCATATAAATACTCAGATATAAGTTAGATACATTCAGGGAAACAAATCATGCTTCTATGATGCTAAGTACCGGAGGATAATGGAATAATACTTTACGTAGAATTTTGAGGGAATAGGTTTGGATTTATAAATATTATGTCCAGCCAAATTTGCATTCATATATGAAGAGAGATATTCTTTGATATGCAGAGCTTAAAAAGCTTCCTACCTTTGCTTTCATGTGCCCTTCCTGAAAAACATTGCTGATCAGAAGGTAAACTAAATTAAAACAGTCAGTAATGATGAAATCATAATATCAGAGGACTAGTTGGAGCATTGAAGCAAACTAAGCAAAGATTTAATAATTTTTAAAATGTTTTTTAAATAATATAAATGTGGAGAATCTTGACACCAAGAGTGTCCAGTATTACAAAATATAATGAAAGGAAAAAATTATATTTGTAGAACGAAGTGACACAAGAAAGAACAGGTCTATTATGCCAGTACACATAGGAAGGTTAAACTTTCCTGTGCAAAGCTAGGCATCATATACTGTGCATTTTCCTTTAACAAAGACATCAAGTAGTCATCAAACGCTCTGTAAGCAACAGGACAGTGCCAGCTGCTGGTTGGGCTTGCCACATGTTTATAGATTGATCCAGTGAGGACATAGTGAGCCCAAGTGCACAGAGACAGTGTTACTACTTATGTATAAACCAGATTTTTATGGTGCCGTCTCCCCACATCCCACAAGATGACACCAAACTGGAGGAACCAGATGACAAACTCCACAAGTGGTGGGTCCCTGTAAAGGAGGAACGGATTCCAAACTGCCGCTAAGCAGTTGTATGACTCACAGCTGTACCTAAGAAGTAAAGTAGAAAGTCCCCTGCCTCACTGGAAATAGGGAGGCAGATGAGAAACTGTCCTTAATAGGAATTCGCTCCTCATAAGACCACTCACATTCCGTGTTCCAGGATAATCACCAAGGCTTAGGTCATCCTGCCATTTGAGCGTTGCTTCCAGTCGCCTCTGTGGAGACGTGTAAGGTCACCAGAATGCCAGTGGTGGAGTCATTCCCCTACACAAAATTCATATTTTTTCTGTTATTGCAGACTTCTTATGAGCATCATTTTGAATGGCTGCATAAATTTACAGTGACTGTTCAGATTTTAATTTCTCAAAGCACTAAAACAAACAAACAAAAAAGGCAGTTTACCACCCCTTGATAAAATCTTTAAGAGATATAGCTGATCGTTTTTTATTTTTAGTTGTGCTGCCTTTGGTGATAATTCTTATTTTTTAGTTGTTAATGATGGTTTTTTTTTTCTTTGCATAGCTCAAAGCCATGCTATATTGTTTTTCTTAGAATCTTCTTTATATGTTACATTTCTCTTTACCTGTTACATTTTTCATTTCCCTTTAATTTCATTTAAAAAATGTTTTTCTCTAGAAATGAAAGGTGTGTTGAAGCTCCTTACTGCTTTGGGCAGCACCATACTACCTGACTCACAGTAGTAACAGTATTTGAGCTTAAATACTAAAGATTACTTGAATAAATGAATGAAAATGTTAGTAATATCATAGTAGAGTTTGAGATGAAATTGCTTCAGTAGAAATGAAGATATAGATTGTACAGAAGCTGGAAGGGTTCCAGGCCTAGCCTATTATTTAGTTGTATGGTGTTGGGAAGGTCATTTAAATTCTTTGAACTCTTTCCTTTCTTCTCTGAAATGTGGGGGTTGGATTAGGTTTCTGTGGATCTTCAAAATCCAGGGTAACGATTTTGTGGTCTTGTCCTTGTATATACCCTTGTCATGTATACCCAGCTTAACAGAGGATGGGAAAGTCAAAGATAGGGACATTATTTCCTTTTGATTCTAGAATCTATTCTGATATTTTCAGTTATTTATTTTATGTAACGGACCAATTCTGATATATAGAGCTACTAAATTAGTAGTATTTTCTTTTAATGTTAGGTGACAAACCATCCAGAACCAGTCTCTCAGTCATTAACTCCTCAACAGCAACCACAGTACAACCTTCCAGAACGAGACAAACAACTACTTTTCTCAGAATATAATTTTGAAGATCTCAGTGCCTCATTTCGGAGCCTTTATAAGTCAGTTTTTGAGCAGTCACTTAGTCAGCAAGGTGAGTTTGTTTTCTTGGGGATGGGGGTTTTTGTTTTACTAATGTATAATTGACATACATAACCTATTAATTTCAAGTGGAGTTTTTAAAATACTACTTTGTAAAGTATATTTTTATTGAAAAATGTTAAGAATTATTTTCACATAGCAGCTGTTAAATTTCTTGAATCATGAACAGTATCATCATAGTCACAATTGAATATTCTTTGTGCCTTTACTATATCCTGTATATATTTGTATAATAGCACAAAAATGCATACACTTACTTCACTTACTAGTGGTATCCTGGAATAGCGCATGTTGAAGAATTCTGACACTGCATCTGTACCATGGTTAGATTAGTTAGCCTGGAAAGACTGCCATGGTTAATTAGTGATGTCTAGCATGTGAAGTGTTTGAGTGGTAAATGTTGCACCACAGGAATAGATGTGCTTTTCCTGTCTTTACTGTTATTAGCACAGAGATAGCTGGTGGTATGTGGTAGCACCAGATTTGCAATTTCATGTATGGCACTTACAAGTGAACATACTGATTAGTGGTAAGCTGTGGGTCACTATTTTATACAACATCCTTAAATTTTATTTTAAAAACAGTTTGGAGGGGTAGCTGAATGGCTCAGTCAGTGAGTTATGTGACTCTTATTTTGGCTCAGGCCTTAATTCTCAGGGTTATGAATGCAGGCCCTGTATTGGCTCCATGTCCAGCATGGAGCCAACTTTAAAAAAAGAAAAAATTGGTATTGAAAATGTTGGTTTAGGTCATTTCTGAGTTCCTTTTTACAATGCTAGGACTTTATTAGACATGGATAATGAAATAACTGCTTTCTTTCATCTGACTTGTAAGAACCCTATAAATTCCCTTCAAATGATAGTTTTCCAGGGCCAAGACAAGAACTTTTATTAACTCTTCTACGTATAAAACCTTAACTTATTAGTTAAGATTATCTTACAGTATACTTCAATATAACTTTACTGTTAATGGGCAATGTGAGAATAATATTTTCATTTAAAAGATTTGATTCTTTTATTAATGATAACTGTGCTATAGGATTTTCTTTTTCATTTAATAAAATCCATTGTGTTTTGATTCAGTAAAACATTGTATGTGACATCCTTTGGGATTTGAAAATAGCCTAGTTATGTTGGATCAAATATTCTAATAAGATTTATTAAAATGAGTGTCCACCTGCAAACCAAAAGTACATTTTTAACATTAGTCTCTTCTGGCCTAATCATCAGTATCATCCTAACAGCTAACATTTACTGAACTAATCCTCACCTTCCACTTGCACCATGGCATTTAATCCTCACAATAATTCTGTGAAATAGATATATCCATACCCATCTATAATTAAGGTAATTGTGACTTGCAGAGGTTAATAACTTTCCAGCATTACCAGGTGTGCAGATGGCAGTACAAAGACTTTAATCCTTACTTTCTGGTGTTATAAATTATGCATTCTTAACTCCTAAACTGTATGGTCTAAAGAATATTCCATGAGCTGAATGAAAAAGCACTGAAGATGGCTGTTTTGTTTTGCTTAGTCTTAAGAATTCTGGCCACCTTTGACTTAAAAGTTTTTGGAGTTGTCTAAGAAAGAGTTCAGAAATAACTGAGCCTTATTTCTCTCCTCTACCTCTCTCAAATTCTTGGTCTTCACGCCTGTAGAGAACTATCCTGAATGTGACCCAACACCTTTCCCACTTTCCCCCCAAATTTACTTAGTCTTTCAAGATTTCAGTTCACATACTGCCTTTGCTTTCTTCCTTTCTTTTCTATCTCTTCTTTCTTTTTTTTTTTTCTATTTCTTTTTCTTTTTCCTCTTCTTTCTGAGAGGGAGAAAGAGGGGAGAGTGTCGACACTTCTTAAGCTGAGCCAGCATTGCTTCCTGATATGTATACCTTTGCTCTGTAAATAATTTTGTAAATGTCTGCCATAAAATGTAACTGAAGTCTGACTCAGAATGTTCTTGCTTTCTCTCACTATGTCTAGGTTTGATGACCATCCCTTCTGAATCTTCCCAGCAGTCCCACACCTCGTGTTCGTATCAGCACTCTCCTAGCAGCACAGTGAGCTCTCACCCACACAGCAACCAAAGCAGCCTGTCCAACAATCATGGCGGTGGCCTCAGCACCACGGGCAGTAATTCGGTTGCACAAGTCTCACTGCCCCACTCCCAGATGCACACACAGCCGTCTCCACATCCGTCCCATCGACCGCATGGTTTACCACAGCATCCACAGCGTCCCCAGCACCCAGCATCGCACCCGCAGCAGCACAGCCAGCTCCAGCCCCCTCACCCCCAGCACCCCTCTCCACATCAACACATACAGCACCATCCGAACCATCAGCATCAGACGTTAACACATCAGGCACCCCCAACCCCACAACAGGTATCCTGTAATTCTGGTAAGTTGGTGTCTCCTGACTCATGTCTGTTCTTTGTTATCTGAGGCTTATGTATATTTACTCCTGAAACCCTTCTCATCTGTCTTCTTTTGTGCTTCCTTGTTGTAACCCTATAGTTGTAACTCATTCAATCCTTACATTGATCTGGAGATTTTCTTGATTAAAATTTACCGTGACAACATAGGCAAACTCACCAACCCTTGTAGGTTTTGGTTTAGACTCTCATTTGTCCTTCTGGAAAACCAGTGTTTTAGTGAGCATTTCAAAGAATGGGATACACAGTCTATCTGCAATCTAGTATGATTCGGTGTGGTATAGAAGAAAGTATATAGGTTATGTCAGAAAAAACTTATATCTAAATTCTCATTATGACTCTTATGACCTTTCGTGCATTACTTCTTTTAGTCTCATTATTTCCTCATCTATAAAAATGGAACTAAAATACCATGGTATACAGTGTTATGAGGATTGCATTGAGAATACAAATAGGAAATGCCTCTGCTGGTACCTTGCCTTTAAGTATTCAGAGAATGTTCCCACTCTTCCTTTCTTTGCTTATTGCTGCCAAGTATTTCATTTTAGAGAGAGAGATTGCAAAGGAAGAAAATATTCTTCATATCCTGGTTTTTAAAAATTCTATTGCTCCTAAGATAGGTCTTGATGGTTTCTGGTGAGATGCTGAATTCACATTGCTCACAGCCCACGCATCTGCACTGCAGAACTCCCAGGGATGCCCCCGACATAGACTACAAGGTGAATGGGGCCCTTTGGAGTTGTACAGAGTACAGATCCTTCCCATAGCTTGCCTGGCTATCCATTTAGCAACCAAATCACTGATGAGATTTTTATCTTGGAGGAACAATTTCTATATGCTAGGTAGTGCTACTTCTTAACAATTAAAAATCGATCATTATTTCAGGCAATTAAACTGTCAGGGAAATGATCTTTAGATAGGGCACACTGTCTCTTATATTCTGACTTTGCTATAAAGCTTAAGTTTTTCTGAAACTGTTGCCCTTTTTTTTTTTTTTTTTTTACAAAGTGGAAAATAATATTTTGAGGAAAATCATATAAGGTTCAAAAAATGCGTATCAGGGTACTTCAAATTTAGTAAATTCCTTTTCATAATTTATTTTGTTTTCCCAGTTAATAATTCTAAGGGAGAAAAATAATAATTCTAAGAAGGTTCTAGAATAAAGTTGAAAATTGGGTATAATTCTTGATAATGATGAGTCCCCAAAAACGTCTTGAAATTATTATAGGTCTATGCATAGAGAAAAGTATAAGTAGTGCCCTCTTTTCTTAGTGTTAGTCACTATTGTTGACTTAAAATTTTTTTTTTTTTTTTACTGAAGTATAGTTAATGCACAATGTTAGGTTAGTTTCAGATGTACAGCATAGTGATTCGGCAACTCTGTATGTTATGCTGTGTTCACAAGTGTAGCTACTATCTGTCACCATACAATACTATTAAAATACCACTGACTTTATTTCTTTTGCTGTACCTTCCACATCTATGACTTACTCATTCCGTCGCTGGAATCCTGTACGTTCCACTCCATTTCACCCATTTTGCTCATCCCCCCCACCCCCCATCCACATGTTCTATGTATTTAAAAATGGAGCTGTTTCTTTTGTTGTGTTTTCAGATTCTACATGTAAATGAGATCATATGATACTTGGCTTTTTCTGATTTATTTCAATTATACTACTGCCTCCCTTTTTAATGTCAGTACACTCTTCAAAAAGTTAAGTTTGTTCTTAATATGATTTTAAGGATTGACTAATGATTGTAGAGATTTGGTGTCAGTAGAAGTCTGTAATGCTCTGGTCATGGCTTCTATTAAGTCTACTGATTGCCAGGGGAGAAAAAAGTACTATTACCACTGAAAACAATCCATCATGTGTTCTTAGTGGCCTGTTGCTTTACCAGAGGTAGCTTGCCAGAGAAGGAAAATAGCCTTTCACCTGGAGGAGTTAGGAATTGTCTTTAATAGGGAAGGAATGGAAGAAACTAACAGTTGTTTGAGTTCCCATTGTGTGATAGGCAATTCAGATACATTATCTCCTATTGTCCTCTCAAAGCAACTATAAATTACCACATTTAATAGATAAGAAAAGTGTAACTCAAAGAAGTTTAACAGCTTGCCTTAAGATCAGAGCTAATAGCATTAGAATTGGAATTTATATCTTGGCCTATCAGGACTTCAAAGACTATAACACCAGTAATTCCAAAAGGACTAAATCAGTAAACATTTACTGAGTGGGTCTTGCTGAGATTGCTTTGTGTTGCCAAGTTAGCATTTATAATAGGTCATGGACATGAAAGTCTCATAGACTTGAATGTGGCATTACTTATTTTTCCCCAACAAAGTTCTAGTTATGAGTTGCCTGGGGGCAGAGTCATGTTGTCTCTGGTTCATTGTTTATTTGAAAAAAAAATCCATAATTGGTTATTTTGTAAACCAAATAACCAGTAGTTGATACAGAGTTATCTGTGATGTAGCAAAAAATCCTTTTTATTAGTTCTTACCTTTATCCATCCAGTGGTGATTCTGATAACAGAATAATTTCTGATGCAGTGACTAAATGGAGGATTTTCTTCATCTACTCAGCACTGTTCACTGAGTGCAGCTCTAGCCCCGTGCCCCGGAGTGGTGACCACTTTGCTGACATATAGACTGTGGAGTCTTAACCCTGCTGATGATACTACAATCAGAGGATACTATTCCTGACTAGCCTTGGTTTGGATTCATCAACATTTCTTACAGATGTCTCAGTCCTTTCTTTGCTACTTTGCCAGGAAGACTGTGCTAAGGCATTTCTCTCTGTCAGGGTTGCCTTATAAGAAATTTGTCCTCTTGGTGTACAATCTAATTCGCCTCTCTTAAGTCAGTGCTTTAAGATACTGTGTGTTACTTCTAAATGTGAACTTGCCTCTGAGTTACAAAGAACATATTTCTTAATGTCATAACAAGACAGGAAAATGGACTTCATATAGTAAGGAGGGAGGATATATTGATTTTCCCGACTTGCCCTGCCTATCATTCATTTGTACTGTACAAATGTAAAGAGCAGTAATCAAGTTTGACATTATAAGGTGATAGGGCAGTTTGTAAGCTGTCAGACTGGGGCTTAGAAGCACCAGGTTCAAGGTTTAGATTCATCATAGTAACCTTGCTAAGTTATGCCACCTCTCTTGGTTCAGTTTCTTTTTATTTATAAAATAAAGAGAAATAAGACTCCTCTGCCTGTTTCACAGAGACAATTGCCCCAACATAGGACATCAACACATGATATGATGGATGTGAATCATTCATAAAACTGGATGGAATAAGCCCAGCTCATTGTCTTCCCCCTACCATATACTTCAGACTTTCACTACCCAAGATTTATGTAGTATTGTCAATATTATTTTTACAGGTGTTTCAAATGACTGGTATGCAACACTTGACATGCTAAAAGAAAGTTGTCGAATTGCCAGCAGTGTTAATTGGTCAGATGTAGACCTTTCACAGTTCCAAGGTAAGTATGGGTTCTTTCTGACATAGAACCAAAAATACATGATACTGTTTACTCTCATAGGGATGGTTCTTTGTAGTAAAGTATCTCCTTATATAGTGTTTCTTTTGCAGTTGATAGTATGCTTAAAAAACAACACTGCAAAATTCATGATTAAGTCAGTCAGTAGATGTAGCAGAGGATCAGAGGTAAGAGTTCTGAAAGAAGTTTGGCCACATTTAGAAGTAATTAAGCTTTGAATAATTTTTAAATGTCATTCTTCATTGCACAATCATTACCAGTGGAAATTTTGAGGGCTGGAAAAAAAAAATTGTGTCTTGTTATATTCCTTGCAATGCTTGCAGAACAAACTGTGCTATTTCTAATACTTTTCTCATAGGTTTGATGGAGAGTATGAGACAGGCAGATCTCAAGAACTGGTCTTTGGATCAGGTTCAATTTGCTGATCTCTGTTCTTCTCTTAATCAATTCTTTACACAAACTGGCCTTATCCACTCACAAAGTAATGTTCAGCAAAATGTCTGTCACGGTGCCATGCATCCAACAAAACCTTCCCAACACATTGGAACAGGTATGGGTTTAATTATCTTCCTGATTGTCTTTCTCATTTGTGTGAAATTTAGTGAGACAGCTTGGTATGTTGTTAGTGTGATAGTGATCCGTTTACATCTTTTCATTTCTAAGAAATGCAATGAAATAAAATAATTTATATATTAAAGATATGTTTAAAAAGTTGAGATAAGGTGACTTTTGTCATGATCTATATGATTATTGTTTACAGTTGACTGTGATCTTTAACCTTTTAAGTTCAAACAAGAATTAAGTGTTTTATATACAATTTTATAAGAACATAGTCATGAAGTTATATCTATTAAACTTGTGGAGACTTGCAATGAAAATCAGCATGTCTTATTTTATATATCTTCTAAGAATGTTAAGATTAAAATTCAAAGCTTCAAGTAAAGAGTACAGTAATGGTAAATTGTCTCGGTGTTTTACTCTGTACTTGAAATTCATGCTTTGTGTTTTTCACCTAACTTTCTTCTTTTTCTCTTTACCCTTGTAGCCATCTATTTTACTCTAATTGCAGCACCTTTTCATTCTGTAGATGTTTAATATTCAAGTGCTTTCTTTGTTTATTTTCTTGCAACCTTTTATCTCCAAGTTGACTTCTTTTCTGTTCATTATTTTGGTTTTACTTTTGATGCATTTTTAAGTCTCTTTTCTATCCTGTGGCTTTCTTCAACCATTATCCTAGCTTATTTCACATACTTGGTCTTTCCATATTCTCAAGATCCCCAGCCATGCTATAGCTTTCTTTTCATGTGAAATCTTTATTTCTGTGTCTTTTTTTTTTAAGATTTATTCTAGAGAAAGCAAGAGTGCATTTGGGGGTGGGGGGTGGGAGCAGAAGAAGAGGGAGAATCTGAAGCAGACTCTCTGCTGAGCATGGAGCCCAATCTGGGCCTCGATCCCACAACCCTGAGATCATGCCCTGAGCCGAAATCAAGAGTCGGGCATTGAACTGACGAAGGTACCTAGGCAGCTCTCTGTGTCTTTTGATAGAAATCTTCCATCATCTTTGCTTCTTCCATTTGAATAGTTTACCTAACTTGAAACTCTCAGTGACTGATTTTTGTGGCTCATTCATTTCGTAAATTACATCCACCCATGAGCCTCATTCAGTGTTTGGCATATACAAGGTACTTAATATTACCTGAACTTGTTGAGTGCCCTCCAATGTGCCTGACAACTAAACTGTATTTTTTGATGGCTCATTTATCTCCTTTCTCCTTCTCTTTCTCCCTCCCTCTCCCCTCTCTTTTTGTCACTTCCTATTTGGTATCTTTTGGATGTATAAATACTCTTTGAAAAAAAATTTTTATTGTAAAATATAACATAAAATCACCATCCCAATCATCCTTAAGTGTATAGTTCAGTGGCATTAAATATACTCATAGTGTGCAGTTGGCATCACAATCCATCTCCATAAATTTTCATCTTGTAAAGTGCATATTCTGTACTCATTAAATAATACAGGCCCCCATTTTAACCCCTGTCCCTCTGACCCTCCACCAAGCCCCTGGCAGCCACCATTCTTTCTGTTTCTGATTTTTTACTATTTCTAAGTATCTAAGGTAAATGAAATCCTATAGTATTTATCTTTTTGTGACTGACTTATTTCACTTAGCATTTCTTCATCCATGTTGTGGCATATATTAGGATTTCCTTCCTTTTTTATGGCTGGATTACTAGTCCATTGTATGTATATACCACATTTGTTCACTTGTCGAACACTTGGGATGCTTTCATATTTTAGCTATTGTGAATAATATTGCTATGAACAGGAGTGTACCAATATTATTTCAAGGCCCTGCTTTCAGTTCTTTTGGGTATATACTCAGAAATGGAATTGCTGGATCATATGGTAATTATTTCATTCTTTGAGGAACCACCATACTGTTTTTTATGGGGGCTATACCATTTTACACCCTCCTAACAGTGGACAAGGGTTCCAGCTTTTCTACATCCTTGCCAACATTTGTTATTTTTTTTAATCTCTTTTTAAAAAAATAGTAGCTATTTTACTGGGTGTGAGATGGTATCTCATTGTAGTTTTGGTTTGCATTCCTTGATGATTATTGAATATCTTTTTATCTGCTTATTGGCCATTTTTGTATCTTCTTTGGAGAAGTATCTGTTCAGGTCCTTTGCCCATTTTAAAATCTGGTTTGGTTTATTGCTGAGTTTTAGGAATTCTCTATTCTTTTGGAATAGAGAATTAACCCTTTATCAAATGCATGATTTGTGATTATTTTTTTTAAAAGATTTTATTTATTTATTTGCAAGAGATATATATAGAGAGAGGCAGAAACATAGGCAGAGGGAGGAAAAGCAGGCTCCATGCAGGAAGCCCAATGTGGGACTCGATTCCGTAACTCCAGGATCATGCCCTGAGCCGAAGGCAGATGCTCAACCACTGAGCCACCCACGTGTCCCATGAATATTTTCTTTCATTATTTTGTTTTCTTTTTTACTGTGTTGATAGTGTCTTTCAATGCACAATTTTAAAATTTTTCAGGAAGTCCAACTCATCTTTTTTTTCTTTTGTTGTCTATGAGTTTGATATCTTATATAAGAAATCATCACCAAATCCAGTGTCATGAAGCTCTTGCCCTATGTTTTTGTCTAAGAATTTTATGGTTTAGGTCTTAAATGTAAGTCTTTGACCCATCTTGAGTTATTTTTTGCATATGACATTAGATTCAGATCCAATTTCGTGCTTTTGCATATGGATATCCAGTTTTCCCAGCACCATTTGCTGAAAAGATGGTCCTTTCCCCCATAGAATGGTCTTGACACCCTTTTAAAAAATAATTTGACCATATATGCAATTGATCATTAGTTCATTCCTGGGTTCTCTGTTTGATTCCGGTGTTTGTAGTATATTTGCCTTTGTGCCATAACCACACTGTTTTCAACTATATTTTTGTAGCAGGTTTTAAAATCCGAAAGTATGAGTCCCCCTGCTTTTTTATTTTTGTTCAAGATAGTTTTGGCTATTCAGTGTCTCTTGAAATTCCCTATAATGTTTTAGGATGGGATTTTATGTTTTTGTCAAAAAAAAAAAGAAAAAACGGAGTTTTTGATATGGGTTACATTGACTCTATAGATAGCTTTGGATAGCATTGACATCTCAACAATATTGTTTTCCAGTCCATGAACATGAAAAGTGTTTCCGTTTACTTATGTCGTCTTAAATTTCTTTCAATGATATTTTTGTAGGGTTTTTTTTTTTTAAGATTTTATTTATTTATTCATGAGAGACACAGTGAGGCAGAGACACAGGCAGAGGGAGAAACAGGCTCCCTGTGGGGAGCCAGATGCGGAACTTGATCTCAGGACCTGGGATCATGCCCTGAGCCAAAGGCAGAGACGCTCAACCACTGAGCCACTCGGGTGCCCCTACTGTTGTAGTTTTAATTGTACAAGTCTTTCACCTCTGTGATTAATTCCTAAGTATTTTTTATTGCCATTGTAGATGGAATTGTTCTGAAAATTTCCTTTTCAGGTTGTTCATTGTGTAAAAATGGAACTGATTTTTGCATGTTGACTTTGTCCTACTATGCTCAATTTATTTTTGGATAGTTTCTACATATAAGATCTTTGGAGGTTTCTACATATAAGATCATATTTGTGAACAGAGATAAACATTTTCCTTTCCGATTTGGATGCCTTTTATTTCTTTCTTGCCTAGTTGCTCTGGCTAGAACTTCTAGTAGTATGTTGACTAGAAGTGGACATCCTTGCTTTGTTCATGATCTTAGAAGTAAGCTTTCAAGTCTTTGACCTTTGAACATGATGTTTGCCATGGGATATTCATAGATGGCTTTTATTATGTTTAACTAGTTTTATTCTATTCTTAGTTTGTTAAGTGTTTATTATGAAAGGGTGATGACTTTTGTCAGTTACTTTTTCTATATCAGTTGAGATGAGCATGTAGGTTTTTTCCCTTTCATTCTGTTAATGCAGCATATTACATTGATCACTTTTCATATGTTGAACTATCCTTTTCTATTCCAGGAATAAATCTCACTTGGTCATCATGTTTTCCTTTTAATATGCTATTGAATTAATTTTGCTAGTACTTTGTTTACGATTTTTGGATCAGTGTTCATAAGGGATATTAGTCTGTGGTTTCCTTATAGATGTCTTTGTCTCACTTTGGTATCAGGCTAATTTTGGCCTTATAGGGTGAGTTAGGAAGTGCTCTCTGTCTTTCAGCTTTGGGGAAAAGTTTGAAGTTTGAGAAGGATTGGTGTTATTTAAATGTTTGGTACAATTCACCAGCAAAGCCGTCAGGTCCTGGGCTTTTTTCTTTATTGGGATATTTTTGATTACTGATTCAGTGTTACTAGTTTTAGGTGTATTCAGATTTTCTATTTTGTTGTAATTTAGTCTTGGTGGTTTTTATGTTTCTAGGAATTTGTTCATTTCTTCTAGGTTATCCAGTATGCTGGTATACAATAGCAAATGATGCTATTTCCTTCCCCCTTTTCTGGATCCTGTTCTTTTTATAATCAGTTGTAGTGTCCCCACTTTCATATCTAATTTTAGTTACTGTTTCATTTATCTCTGTTCTAATCTTTATTATTTCCTCCTTTCTGCTAGCTTTGGGTTTATTCTGTTCTTCTTTCTGTAGGTCCTTAAGTTGTAAAGTTAGGTTGTTGATTGAGATCTTTCTTGTTTTTTAATGTGTTTGTAGTTACAATTTTCCCCCTTCACTACTTTTGCTATTCATCCTCTTGTCAGAGAAGATGCTTAGTATATCTATCATTTATAAACTACTGAGACCTAATTTGCAGCCTGACATATAGTCTATCCTGGGATATGTCCCATGTGCACTTGAGAAGAATGTGCATATTGTTGGGTAGAATGTTCTGTACTTGTTAGATCTAGTTGGTTCATTGTGTTACGTCCTCTGTTTCCTTATTTTCTTCTCTCTGGTTGTTCTTTCATTTGAGTGTGGGGTATTTATATCACCAGTTATCATTGTAGAGTAGTTAATTT